GTTTTATGGTTATACTTATAAATTTCTTTTGCTTTCAAATTGCACAAAGTTTTGATAATGTTCAGTAAATCAGATATAAGGGAAGAGTATCAATATTCCTTTGTTTAGATTTAGACTTTAGTCATTATTTTGTTATTTTTATTTATCAATAAAGTTGGTTTGAACCGCTTGGCTACCGACTGACCGACTGTAATTGATGACAGTTTGTAATGACATTCATTCGCTTACTTGATGATATCAGAGTATATTCTTATTTCCTATCTTCCTTACAGAAGTGTTCGCTTTCAAACTAATCTGTATTGATTCAAACTGACTTACAACTGATCGCTCGTCTTAAGGTGCGTATTCAACAAAAAAGCGAGCACGAGCATTCTGCATCAATACTCGTCTGGTGAGTACGAGCTAGAGAGCGAGCGTCCGTATGCTTGTTCGCGTTCAGAAAAGATCGAGAAGAAGGCGGTACTACGAACCTGAAGATATTCGCTCTGGTGTGGGCGAGATATCAATATGTCGAGCAAACACGAGCGAATACGAGCAAACATACACGAATGCTCGTACATGCTCGCTTTTTTGGTGAATACGCACCTTTAGTTTATTCAGGTTGGAGTCGATTTGCAATTCGACGCTGCTTCGTTTTATACCACGTTTTATTCCACTCGTTCTTTGACGAGTAGAATTCCAATTCTTTCGCGATCATTTCTTGCAAATATTTCGACGCTTACTCGTGGTGATGTGATGTCACGATACTCTATGTATTCCTTGTCAGTAGCGTACACAACGGCTATGGCGTGACACTCTTCATATTGAGCAAAATCATTAAACAAGTAATTTTTAAAATTTTCGGAGATTTTTTAAAAACAACAGTTCAATTTCATTCAAATTGCTTTCTAAATATGCTCTGTCAACAAACCTTTTACTACGATTCTACTGAGAGTGCTACATATAAAATTATACGGTCCACGAGGAGTTCTCTCTATTCTAGTTCTTTGTGATGAGGCGCCTACGGTGACACCATTGGATGCAGACGTAGTGGAGACACTTGGGCTAACTGGAATGAAGGAGTCACGTTGTCTACAATAGACAAACGAAAATGTCATGATTGAAGAAAATTCCGTTCGATTAGACGTGATTGTTTCTAAAATTGATGACAACAAAATGTTTACTATGAAAAGGGTCCGAACTGTCACTCATATGTCGTTACCCGAACAAAACATCAACATATACGATTGGAAAAAGTTTTATAATGTTGGTCATGACTTTTGGAGCAACCTGTTCGTACGAATGTGTTAAATTCGTAAAATCTCGAATGCTGAGGATATCTATTAATCCAGACATCCGAACCGCTATTATCAAGAAATTTTATGTAGATGACTACTTATATTCAAAAGACCCCAAAGAAGAAGCACTAGAAACAATAATAGACGTATTCAAAATCCAGAAGGTTGCGGAATTTGAAGTACGCAGAAAAAAATTACAGCCATTCCAAGTGAATGGTTTTCTGGAACTTATTTCTCAAAAAACCAGAAGAATCATAGCCAATCGAGAAATCAGAAAATTGAAACATGTTTGTCATTTTCCAAAATTATGAAGAATGCCTACCAGACATACCTACGACGATTCTCGAAATGAAAGAACTGGACCACCGGATGATGTTTGAAATTTTTGAAATTATAAGGAACAAGGAAAGATTTACTTTAACATCTAACAGGAGTGTTTTCCAGAAGAAATTCAAATACATAAGACTGAAAAATAACTGAATGGTCGAAGCAAACTATCCGTTTATTTCCAGATATTAATAAATTTTACAGAATTTATTGCGGAGAGCCCACGAAAACTCATCATTCTGAGTCCAAAACATGAATTAACCAGATTGTTGATACAACACTATCATGAAAAATTTCATCATCGAGAAGTAGAAATAATCATAAATGAAATCAGACAGAAATACTGGGTGATAAACTGTCGAGCTGCAGTCAAATCAGCATTCTCAATGTGTTTGAAATGTAGGATTGGGAAAAGCAAATCTTCACCACCTCTAATGGGTCAACTACCTGAAGCATAATTGAAGAGAGGTATCAGAGCTTTTATTTACACTGGAATGGACTATTCGGCCCAATTATGGTAAAGATTAGTAGAAGATGCGAAAAAAGATGCGGTGTGCTATTTACATGCAAACCTTCACCACCTCTAATGGGTCAACTACCTGAAGCATAATTGAAGAGAGGTGTCAGAGCTTTCATTTACACTGGAATGGACTATTTGGCCCCATTTTTGTTAGGATTAGTAGAAGATGCGAAAAAAGATGGGGGTGTGCTATTTATACGTGCTTGGTAGTTAGTGCTATCTATCTAGAAATTGAGTAGCGATTTCGCCATTCAAGCAATACTCAGAATGTCGGCTAGAAGAGGACAACCTCAGATTATTTACTGCGACAATGGAACAATTCTGAGACGAGCTGCAAACGAAATTCACCCAGCTATGAAAGAAATATATCGAACAGCGAGTATTGATTCTCTGACGTCAAGGGATATTAGCTTCCAATTCATTCCAACTTCTGCTTCTCACATGGGAGGAATATGAGAGAGGTTAATAGATTCAGTGAAAAATGTCATTGGCAAAGTATTCCACGACTTATTTTTGAAAGAAAAAACTTAACAAACATTTTTTGCAGGAGCGAAGAAAATTGTTATCAATTGGGGTGAGGGAACGGAAGATTTCTCGAATGCTGACGAATTTGTTTTAGACTCGCTGGACAAGAGAATATCTTTGCCGAAGCGAAGTAAATGGACTCTTGACTGCAAACACCATTCTATTAGTGGAAATTTGGTAAAATAACGGCTCTTCATCCATGAGTCGATGGCAGAATTCGAGTTGTCGCCGTAAAACACCAACTTCGGAATATAGGCGCTCATTCACGAAACTTTGCAGATTGGAGCTAGAGGAAAAGTAATTCCTCAGGCAGGGGGAGAATGTTATATTAATCTATTCATCTTTTCATCAGTTTTGTCTTCAGTTTGTTGATAACAGAACCCTGAAAATTTCTCAAAGATAAAGTCAATCAAACTTTATTCCGATTAAAAGTAGGATTTATTGGGCTATTTAGATTTTGATAATTATCAAGAAAACAACATGAACATTTTTCTCATAGGTGGATCATCATTGACATCGAAATTACTGTTGTCTGTACTACTGCAATTATTTTTTTAAAACAAAACACAAACACAACAGGAAAATCCTTAAGGCGCCTAAGAGCGGTTCCTGTGCGAAAGTAGCGATTCACATCGGATTTGACTCGCTGGAGACTAAATCCATTTGGAAAAACGTTCTCAGGAAGTTCATTCCACATAAACGCAGTTCTCCATATGAAGTTCGAGGTGTACTGAGTCGAACTTCAAAACGATGAGCAGCCTCAGTCCGTCGCGTATTTCTGATATGTACCGCTCTTGGTGGAATCAAATGTGCCGAGTTACTTGAACATTTCTCGTGAAAGTATCAATAGAAGAGAGCCAAATCTCCAAACTATCTTTGATGTTCCAAACTATCAAAGTTGCAAATAATGTTCGCCCCTCCAGTCAGGCGGATGGCTATTTTCTGGATGGAACCAGCAACTTGATGGTATGCCTAGGGGAGGAGCTCCATATATAAGAACAATACTCCAAAGAAGGTCTGATCTGAGCTTTATGAAACACCAAAAGTTGCTGAGGTGTGTACAGTTTTCTAGTTCGGAACAGTGTTCCAAGCTTGTGAGAAGCAGCCTCTGCAATTCCAGCGACATGATTGTGCCAAGACATATTGGTGTCCAATTTAGCCTCCAATAAACTTATCGAGGCAGAAAGCGGAATTGTCTGACCCGACATTATTATATCCGGTTCCGAAGACATTTATCTTCTTGTAGAAAACCGATGCCTGGGTTTTTGTGACACTAAATTGAACCTGGTTACTTTTACCACAATTCAAAATCACTTCTAGATCCTCATTAAGATATGCAACCTCCTGCTGCCGGTGAAGATGTGTATCCGTACCCGATGTCCTGGAATCCGAATGGAATGACGAGACAAGTGTGCTGTCGTCAGGAAAGTAATATATTGAATTCTTGGTTTTTTCCAATAAATTGTTGATATACACAAAGAGGGTTGGGGACAATATGGATCCCTGGGGAACACCAGCGTGAATAAAGCAAGCTTATACAAACCATTTTAAAATTGAGAGTCACATAAGATAACCGAATTATCTAGAAATCTAGAAGGGTCGTTGCTACAAATGAGGAAGGATAGAACATCTGCAGATGGACTATTAAAAATATTCAAGGCAGCACTTTATTCGCAAAAGAGATCGACCAAATGAAGAAGAACAACAACATGCCTTCGTATCAAAGTGAAGCTGGGGAAACTGAAACGATTCGAGGGGAAACAAAAATTTATAGAAGAGGAGATTGGAGCATACAGAGCTGACAAGAGGCGCTTTAAAATTGTTGGTTTCATTCGCCACTTCTTATTTATGCACACAAAAAAATGTAATGATGAAAAGTAAAACAAGCAAAAAAGTTAGAGGAAATAGAATCACGTTACGATAAATTCAAGGTCAGCTTTAAATCATGGAAAAAATGTGTTGATATTCAATTTTGTGTAATAATTAAACAGTAATGAAAGTAGCATCGACTTCGAACTTTTGTTTTGAAAAAATGATTGAGAAATTAGAAAGCACAAATATTAACCTCACGATATTTTCATCTTTTTGTAATTGTGTTACTCTTCCTCTTCGATAATATCTCACTTCACCTAGGCATGAACAAAAATATTCAGGTTTTTTCATTACAATTGGAGTACAGTACAAAGAAATTAATTCAATGAAATGAAAATAAGAAAAAACTATATAAAGGACTACGGGATTTCTAAACAAGTTAATCTACAATTCTTTCATTTATATAAATGAAGAAAATGATTCGCATAATTTAGAGAAATATTTAGATTTTTTTTCAATGAGTGTAGGTAATACAAAAATTGCACTTTCATTATGTATATTGTATCACAGAATGGTGTACAATTTTTTTGTGAGTAATATTAACAAAGTCATGTAAATAAAGTACTAAATATGGTATGCAGCATGTTAAAATTATGTACAGTCCATAAGGTATTGGTGGTGTGGATCCATATGGAAAAAACCAGTATCCCCTTCTTGTTGCATCCCGAGTATGGTGACTCAAGAAGGCGGTTAAAATAAGTAAAGTGATACGCTCCAGATTCCATGATTGTAAAATATAACTTACAAGTAACATTAAAACGCAGATGGATAAAGGAAAAGTGGAGCAATGCAAGGGTGGTCTATTTTTCAAACTGATTGCATCCTGAAAAAAATTTTGTTTTGTAAGAATATCTGCGAAAGTAATATCGTGAATGACTGAAAAAGAAACATATATCCAATAGAAGCACTTTTCCCAAGCAGCAGAACTGCAATACTCTTCTTGGCGCGCGTTTCAGCAACCAAGTTGGCTTCATCTCCTGAAGACGCCAACTTGGTTAGTGACACGCGCGTCAAAAAGAGTACTGTATTTTTGGTGTTTGGGAAAAGTGCTTGTTTTGGATTTGTTCTACACCAGAGGTTTCAGTTTTACCTTTTAAGAAACATATACTCTTAAGTGGATGAGGGCTAGAAACACATTTTAAAATTAACATTCGATCCCATCATGAAGTTAAATATAAATAAAAATCAATAAGGTTGGGAAAATTATTCGTAGCTGGTTGCAATTATTGAAACCAGAAGTTGAAAATAGAAATTTGAATTTGGGTTTATTGTGACTCACACTAGACCAAATAAATCCAACTTCTTTATGAATTGGATTACTATATTTGGTGAGTGATCTGCAACCAAGGTCTGAAATTTTTTTCTGAAGAATTATCAACTCACAAGTTTGACAAACCACGGAAAATTTTTCTCAATCTAGTGAGGAGGTCAGTTTGCGACTATCTTCATCAGGATGGTAAGTAAAATAAACGTATGGCTGTAGATGTGTGTCTTCTGGTACGCATTTCAGAGAGGCACCAACCCACGTCACTCAAGAGAAGCTCTTCTAAACTTTTCAGGTAACCAGGTAACCTGAATCGTACTTGTGACCATCGTGTTCAATATCCTCTACATTAGCCATAAGAGCATTATGAAGAGATTAAGTTGACTGGTTAATATTGAGGTTGTGGGATACTCAAGGTGCAAGATTCCCATCTTAATGATTGCAGCAACCTTCTCATATGAGGGTATCTGTAAGTCGGCTATAACTGACAATACATTAGATTCAGCCATGCAGGAACTTTTCTTCCCTGGTTTTGGTGAATCATCATGTGAGCGATCTTTTAAAATTTTCCACCCTCTCGAGATGGCCTGGAAAACTCGGACGCGATATTTCTCTTGTTGTTTAATTTTCAATGATATGCTTTTTTAATTATCCCCCTAATTGCACCCTGGCCTGGAAAAGTCGAACAATTCATCTTGTTCAATTGATCAAGTTTTTTATGACACTAATTATCAAAATATTTCCATCCTATTCTTCATCCCTTCAGACGACCAGAAAAACCAGTACATTTCACTTATTTCAATAATCAAATAACGAGGCATATTTTATTGAAACGTGTTTCAAAGGTGTCAAAAAAAAAAGATTTATTGAGTACACCAAGTTTACTAAGTTGAATATTGTGCAATTTTATGGTTTTTTAAATTTTGCTAAGAAAATGACTTGACTGTATAATTTGATAAAAAGCATAGTAAAACTGGGATAGCAATCATTTTGATCGATTGGGCTTTCGTTCAAGGGATATATTTTGATGATAATTATACAATTTTCAGCTGGACTGGTCCAACTGAAACTGCTTTGAAATGTACTAACTATCCATCCCTCATATTGTACAAATATGCTGCTTGAGGGAGTAGCCAATTGACGATAAAAATGCAAATAATGTCATTTTCGAAGAATTTTTATAATTGCATTTCAATTTACCATTTTCAATCATTATTTTTACTGTAAGTACTGTCTAGAATTAGTTCATACCTGAGCAATAGTGATAACAAGAGCTATCGTAGTCAAGATTGGTGTGGTGGAGAATATTCCTTCAATTGCTCTCTATGAAAAATCTTGTGAGCGTGTTAGGGCATCCCTCTGAAGGTGGATGCATGCAAGCCCACTTATACTTATAGGAGAATATGCACAGGCTATGGGGGTTCAAAATTGAAGAACTTCATGTGATGATAAGTTTAGTTGAGCAACTAAACAATATATTCAAAAAACACTTCATTGTGAGATTTTCATAATCAGTTTTACAAAAACGCAACATGTCTTTCGCCATACAATGGCTTCTTTCGGCATGTCTTTACTAACTATATTCTATATATTCAATATTTGATATACCTGATTTTACAATTTGAACTACCTACATTTCAATTACCTGAATTTGTAATGAATTAAATTAGCTGTGCTTATGTCCCATATTTTGAAAAAATATTCAGTAACGAGGAGTTATTCAATTCTGATTGATCATTCAGTAAATTACCCGAATTCTTGAATTTATTGATTTCTAAACAGTTCTAACAAATGTAACACGTCATATTCAATGTGGAAACTGGGACATAAGCTCAGGTAATTTAATTCATTACACACTTAGGTAAAACTCAGGTACTTGAAATGTAGGTACTTCAAATTGTAAAATCAGGTATATCAAATATTGAATATATAGAATATAGTTAGTAAAGACAGGCCCGAAGAAGCCATTGTATGGCAAAATATGTGTTGCATTTTTGTAAAACTTTTCAGTGAAAATCTCATCCATCAAGTATTGGCTAATTTCATCATACAACTAAATAATGTCCCCATCAGCTATCGATCTTTCAACTTTTCAAGTTACAAGTTAGTTGACTTGCACAAATCCACCTCAAGTTATACTTGAATTTGACTTGTTATTAAAAGTGTTGGTAAACCGACTTACATTCAAGATGATATTTAAATCAAACCAATGATTCATACGCCCTATTCACATCTCAGACAATGCCGCAAATACTGCTATTCTCACCTTTAACTGAAAGGATCTAGCTGCAAAAAAGTGATCTATGTCTATGAAAGAAGACATAACTGTACAAGCAGCAATTTCCAGGACCGCCGAAAGGGAGTTTTCGGGTTTGTTTTTTAAATATACTATACACCAAGATAGTCCACCAATAACGGCATGTGTGGCATTATCAAATATCGCTTGATATACATGTATATTAGAATGAACAACTACATAATCACCAATCACTGCAACTATAGCCAGCAGCACTGTTAAATAGTATGATAAGGTGAAGTTCCCTAGGAATATCATGAATTTATTTATAAAAATTTTATTTGGTAAATAAGGAATAAGGTTATGTTGTATTTATTATTTTTCTCATAGACGTCACAACGGTAGTTGTGTACACTTTGATAAGACTATAACACAAGTTTATAGAAAGAGAATATTGAGGACAGCATGGTTGGAAAAGCATAGAATACTTCAAGTCAGTTGTTCTCAAGCTAATCTTTCTAATCGTTTAGCCTTGTGAAATATAGAATAATTCACCTAAGGAAAATGTAGCAAAGGAGGTGCGAATGAGGGCAACAAAGAGAACTTTGGCCGCGAAAGGGTGCGGAGGCGTGAGGTCAGTTCTCGCGATTCTTTCGTTCAATTACATATGGAAAAACTGAATTTATTTGAATTATGCAAGGAGTTGAAGAGTTTTTTGAAGAAGCGAGGTTAAAGACCAGCAATCCAGCAATAGTGTGCCGAAGGTATTGAGCGGTAATATGACAAGTACTGTTAGCCTAGTCAAAGCAAGTTAAAATCAAACATCCATCTCTCCTCAGGCACTTGAATAGCTGTTTAAATGTTAAACTATCGTCATGACGTGAATAGAATGTCGAACTACCTAGGATCTTTTTATTTTATCACAGCATAGGTTATGCTGTGACTTTATGAAGAATCAAGAATGCCGTAGATCGGGTGTTTTCGTTGAAATCACAGATCACAAATAAGATGTCTTTCTTGGTAATTTCCGCCTTTTTAATTTACTTCCTTCAACATCCAGCTGAACGCTGTACTATATATTAATTGTATTATTGCAGAATAAATAGCATTTGCCATTATTGATTCAATTTAGTTGATTATTGACATTAATATTGAGTGGAAGGTTGAGTGGAAGAGCGCGTCTTTTCGATAACTCACCTTACAAACAAGACCAAACTCTTTTGTATTTTAAGTTTATATTCTATTTCATAATTCTATTTTGTAGTCTGGGACAATACAATCTATTATTATTATTATAATTATGAATATAAATATATTAGAATCCACATTCTTCTTCATTGTTGTGTTGTGTCGCCAGTGAAGCGAATGTTTTTGGTTTTGTGTTTTGATATGATTTTTTTAAGGACAACACAAGCACTACAGAAATATTCTTGAGGCGTTCTAAGACCGGTGCCTGTAGAAAAGTAGTGATTCACATTGGATTTGAATCGCTGGAGATTAAATCCATTTGGAAAAACTTTATTAGGAAGTTGACCTTCAAATGGGGTTATATAGATATGTTTCCGCAGAAGACTAGTTTTCAATATGGTTGTTAATTAATTTCAGTTGATTTTTTTGAACTAGAATGCCTCAACGAAAGTGTTGTGCCGAGAATTGTAGATCCCAAAGAAAAAAGGTATCATTTTTCTTGAATGAACCAGACATTTTTCGAACATGGATTGAAAGATCTTTGATAATATCTTGTGTGATGATCATTTCTCAGAATTTCGTTTGGTGATATGTACCTACCAAGTAGGGTCTGAAAGAAACCGCTGTACCATGAACTAGTTGCCAGTAATAACCTACTGTTATCGAAGACGTAAATAGACTTAACCCATTCGAAAAATCGTAATTTTATGAATTGATTGAGTGATTTATCTTGTAATGTTATCCAGATTGGTGTTGAAGAGGTATTAAGACAAGTGTTTCATTCTGAAACATCGATGTCCGCCATTGAGAATGACAGTGTTCCATGTAAGTGAAATATTAGCGCACTCAAATAGATGATATTGTGTAGCAATCCTGTGAATAATATTTTAATGAATTCTATAACACAGGTTTAGAGTACAAATTGAATGGGAAAAGGTGTTTTTTTGTATAATTCAATGTTCATAAATACTGAACCCAAAATGAATCACATTGAAATGAAATCTTTTTAAAAACAAGAAATCGCCAACAATTGGCAACATCAATGGTATAGATCCACCTCTAAGCTAGCAGCAGAAAAACATCAGTACTCCCATGGAAAAATACCCCCAAAAAAAGAAGTCACCAAGTTATCTCGACACGGTTGCGAATGGGACATACCCGCTCAACACATGAATACCTCATAACAGGTGTTAACAAAACAAGATGTGAAGTGTGTGGAACAGACCTGAGTGTTGAACTTATTCTAACAATGCGTGCTATATTACATCGACAAACTCACTCATCGCATCCCACAAACAATGAAAGACATACTTGGTAAAAATTGTGATACTGAACAATTGATAGCTTTCCTCAAAGTCGTACACATTTTTCAACACATATAAATTAATTTTAAATATATACTAATTAAACCATCTGTATTATGCCGTTGCTAATAACTTTAGAGGTTGATGCAACTTTCTTTAAAAAAATGTTCATATAGAAGCAGATGTTTCGAAAGTATTTCTTCTTTCTTTTAATTCAGTATTTACATGAAAGTAGTTGTTTCGAGAGGACTTTTTTTTCAGTTTGTGTCTGAAAGTTACTTCTTTGCATGATCTACATATCTTTGTAAAGAGATTATTTTGAAATCATTAGCTTTCTTCCTTTCTTTGGATAATTTCCACGTTTTCTATGAATATGGAGAAGTAGAAAGTCAAAACATTTCTTTCCCAAAAATTAATCTCTCATGAAAATATACCTTTTTCAATTTAAATTAGAGTGAAGTTATCTATGTTTTTTTGCCACGTTTTTATCAAGAAAGTTGTAATACAAAAAGATTAACGGGTGACGTTGCCAAGTCTCCTAAACATTTCTCATTATTAATTAAGCATTTTCTTAGTCAGTACTGGATGATCGTTGATGGTTTTTCAATGAAATGTTTCAAATTCAATATAGAACCTGTTTTCATCTTCAAATCAGGTTGGAGTGCCGTCGGCAAAAAGTACTTTCTCACCCGGCTTTTACAAAATTCCATGACTCGATAAATGATCGTTATTGAATTTTTCACTAAAATATTAAAAATAACTAACAAAAAAAATACGTCATCTCAAAGGTATGTGAAGTGCCGTGAGGAAAGTTGGAATAATGAAATCTGTCATTCTGACAGATTTTGGCAAATATCTCAGTTATTATTGGACGATCGTTGATTATTTTTTCTAGTTGAATGTTTCGAATTGAATGAAGAACCTATTTCCATATTCAAATCAATTTGGAATGCCGTTGGAAAAAAATTATTTTCTCGCCACGCTTTTAAAAAGCTCATATCTCGGTTAAAACTGTATGATCGTCGATTAATTTATCCTCTGAAATATCGAAAATTACCGATAGAAAACAGATTAACTCAATATTGACTGAATGAGTTAAATTTTGCGGAGTATTTGAAAAACCGAAGAAAACTACTTCTCTTTATCTTTTTTTGTCATGTTGGCAACACTGTTTTTGCTAGATTCAATACATTTGAATGCTTGAATTTTGATTGCTTACTTTTCCACCGGGTTGATATAATGTTACCGATCAAACTCGGTTACATCTAATGAAAGCGAGCGAGGACCTCCGAGGGCGAGAGGTCAGGATTACAGTTTAACATTTAAAAAGCTATTTAATTGCTTGAGAAATGGATGTTTGATTATGACTTGTTTTAGGAATTTCAAGTTCATTTCTCAAGGTTTTGGAATTCGATTTAGGTGGTAATAACATGCTTCCTAATTGTTCAGGGCATCTTCCATTCGTGAGTAGCTCTGTTCACAAATTCCCAAATCGTGAACATATCCTTGCCAAATCGCTTATCGGCAGGCAAGAAACATTTTACTTCGATTGATTACAAGATAACAATGGAATGTATCTGAGAAGAAAAACATTATTTGAGGAATGTAATTAATGAAGTATGAAAAATATGATAAGGTGAAAAAATAAATATATTAAAAAAGGAAACTAAATGATAACAATAACCATCGAAAAGGATTTGTGATCGTACCAGGCCTCTTCAATGGTGCTTGGCTAAACTACAGAACTGTCCTAAAAAGAAAAAGCCTTAAAGTAAAGTGATGACATCTCCCACTACATAGACGCCATTCATGGGATCGACAGAAGAGTCAATCCCCGAATATCAAGAATAAATGAGGCAACCCAAGGTGATTCGTAGCGAAGTCAAGCTTCGACATCGACCGTCAAATGAGATTCGTTTTCTATCTTCCACTACAGCTTTCCCCTTCACTTTAAAGTTCATTCTTTTGAGGACAATTCAATGGTTCAGCCTAGCACCCCTGATGAGATCTGGCGGATCGAAATAACGCTGTCTGGTGTTGGATCATGAATCCATCTCCATATGCACTTGTTAAAAAACAATAAGTATTATTCTTTATTCAGTTGAGAATAACCACCTGCGTACAAGTATGTTCCAATATTGTTGCATCTCATCAGGACCGGCTGGGTTGGACAAGCAAACCAATTCTTTTCATTCGTTTGAAACTTTCCGACACATATTCCGAATTTCGTTCGAATTTATACGTTCTATATTATTATTACTGTATGCAAAAATAATGCATTTGTATCCAGTTCTGAGCTATGTTTGAAGTTGCAAGTCCCTTTAGCTCATCGATATCACACCCATTTAATTTTCTGTCGAGCAGTTTATATTTATTGTTCACTTGTTGAGCAGTGTATGAAATGTCAAATGCTGACAAATTCACTAGTGGCAGGTAATTTATGAATGCGCAGTAGTCCTAAAAAACAAAACTGTGAGACAGAAAGCTTTTACTGTGACAGAAACATCAAATGCATTGCTTACTATTCTGTGCTTTTTGTGTATATGATAATGGTCCGAGAATACCTTCTCGGATAATGTCACAGACTACAGAAAAAACATCAGTATTCTGTGGATAATGTTTTTTGGCATTAGTCGCTCTACAGAGTGTTGATTTTTAGTGGGGTGTTTTTGGTTAGTTGTGGTTAGAGTTAGAATATTGAACACAATATTCTCAATTAATTGTCATATGACGGTGTATAACATTTATATATTTGATAAAACTGGAATTTTGTTGTATTATCAAGAATGGAACCGATTGAAACAATCAGGAATGACAATAGAAGAGGTAAGTATGTACTAAACACTTTGTATAACGGATTTTTTGTCAAGTTGTCATGAAAGAGGAAACCTCTTGAGATCATTAGCAGGTAATAATATTCTGAAATTCAGTAATGAACAAAAAGACTATAATTTAAGATATTTTTTCATACCTACTGCATAATTTATGATGGCCAGTTCAAAGTCGTAGGAATTCATGTTTTCCATTTGTTACTACTAAAAACTTATGACTTTTACACATTGAAATTAAGTTTAAGTTTACACTGTGTGTAAGATGAGGAGGGCCAGCATTGAAAAATATGAAACCAAAGTCGGTTAAATTAGGGAAAAGTTGCACTTTTCATTTTATAAAATTACAAATTACACTTCAAAATGTAGGAAATTTGAATTAGTTCTGGAGATATTCTAAAAGAATCCAATTTGAAAATTTCTTATTAATTTTATTATGGTGTTATTCAAGAGGTTATCAAAAACGACAACACTTTCTCATTGTAAAAGATGGCCTTTACAGATTTTAATCTGACGTTTCATTTCTGAGAAAACATCACCAATTTTTTTTTGGATTGGAAAAAAGAATCACCAAACATAAAAAAGTTGCCATGTTTTTCCTCTTGGTTTTTTTCATGCTAACCAATTTAACTCTTCTTGCCAATGCTCTGTTTTTTCACTTCCTGAAAATATTCATTTTTGGCTACATTAGCAATTCCAGTCCTAAAGTTAGACTTTTTTGCGCCAACTTCATGAATGTGTATCACATCTAAGGGAAATTTCCTAAAAAAAATCTACTGAAATAGATAACTTTATCTAAATTTAGCCGATTTTTTATCTCGTACGGTTTACGATTTACCCATGCTAGCACTTGTTTTCATGAGCACATTATATATAGAGATGGTTACAGTGTAAAGGAAAACAATCCGAACAGCTAAATAAAAGACTAATGTATCAGGTCTGATAAATTTACTAGTTAATACCATATAAAACCTCCCACATGAAAATAATGATTGGATCTCGTAAATTATACCACGCCGCCCGTGGCATACAAAGAAACTGCCGACGTTTGGTAAGTAACTATTTAGTTTTTATGCCGTTCGAAGTGACTTCATATAGACTGTACTTATTACATGTCACTTGACAAGTACTAGTACTTGATAAAATAAATGAGCAAGTAGTAGAAGTTACTGATATCCAAGGTATTCTATACCATAGACGAATTTTTGAAGACGTGCATAATTTATGATTTACCTACCCTGCATAAATTTTAGCTCGATTGTATACAATATTTTTCTCAATTTTGTCTTGGAATATTTTTTTGAAGACTGTCCAAGCAAATACTTTGTGATACTGTGGATGGCATTATAAAGTGTATTGAGCCTCTCACAATATTCTCATAAAAATTAGAGTATTATGGAATAATAGGCATAATTCCAAATTATGGAATAAGAGACACTCTCACAATTCAGGTTATATTTAGATAACAGATTCCAGACTTCCTATATATAAAGTATGGGGACCCCCAGGATTCCATATTGAGCCCACTCCTCTTTGTTGTTTATATTAATGACCTTTGCTCATTTAGTCACCCTAACGCTCTCATGTTTAAACTATAAATACGATTCCTTAAGGGTGTTTCGACCATTTTATTTCCCTATGTTATACAATGTGATATTGGTGCCATTCCAGCAGGAAAACTGATACATGAACTTGCATATTTTTTCGGTAATACCTTAAGGGTGTCCAACATTACTTAATCTCCTCAGGATTTACGTGGAATTATAATCTCATCATACATATCAGTTCTGTACTCTTAATATTGCTGTGAATGAGGGAATCAAAACCGAGTATACCTACCAAAGAATATTCAATGAGTCTAATATTAGCATATTTCAACAACATATATCCAGTGTAGACTGGAGTGAAATATACTCAGCAAACATTTTTTAAGATAAGTTTTCCATGTTATATAAAACATTCATTTATTACTATGACATTTCATTTCCCGTCATTTAAACTAAATTAAAAAATTACACAAAAAATAGTATTCTCCTGAAATCAAGGAAATGCATGTCGAACTTTGAAATGGAAGCGTGTAAATGTTGAGTAAAAGTTTTTTAAAAATAAAAATGTTGACAGACCTATTAATTTACCTAATATCATGAGAGAGCTGGAAAATTATTAAAGAGGAAAATTGTACTAGATAGATAAATAAGGTCCATATTGTTAATAATCAAGAACAGACAATTACTGATCCAATCATAAAAAGTAACATTATCAATGACTTTTTCATATGGCTATATTGATACCCAGTCAAATCGTTAAAACTATTCGATGCATCTTATTGTGATAGATTGACCAAGTACTTGGAACACTGAGCTCATTCCAGCAAATCAGAATGATTTCTGTGAGCACAAATCACCCAGCTCAGCAATTTATGATTGTCTAGAGTTTATCTACACTGCACTGAATGAGTAAAATAATGTTTTAGGACTGTTCTTTGACTTCAGTTCTGCTTTTGATACTATTAATAATAATTTGTTAACCATTGAAATGGAATGGTCGGGAGTTAGAGGTGTTCCGCTTCAATGGGTAACATCATATTTAACAAATAGAACACAGACGACAGTAGTGAATAATTTGAAATCAGATTCAAGAATAATAAATACAGAGGTTCCACGGGGTTCTATCTTTGGATCACTATTGTTTATAGATAGATAATATATGTCCATATGTATATAATATATGCTGATGACACTAATATTCTGATGTCACACAATAACATTGACCAATTAACATAATTCTATATAATCTATTGAAACCATCAAGTTCTTTGGATAGTAAGCTAATATGGAAAGCACACAAACACTGTACGTTCAAAACTAAGCACTGCTATATAATAAAAAATCTGCAAGCAGTAAACATCATTAAACTAATATATTTTGGGATGGTTCAGTCTACTATGCAATATGGTGTGATCTTTTGGGGGTTCTCTTGTCACTTTGAAAGGGCAATTGTATCTCAAAAAAGAACAATGTGTTATGCTCATCGAACTACAATATGTAAACCTTCATTCAAAAATCTCCAAATACTAACCCTTTCATATTTGTATATTCTTGAGCTGATTATGTAATCGCACATTAAAATAAACGAAAATGAACTAATCAGGAATGAGGACACTCATATGTAATACTAGGAATAAAGAAAGACTTCGCTAACCCAGTTAGCGTCCTCAGCAGATCATTATGACTAAATTTTACACTATGTTAGTGTTTTTATATCCTTCAATAGACTAGTTTTATACAGGTGTCTATTATGTATGATGCCTTGTATAATCTTTGATTGATGAATACATTATATTATTATTATTATAATTCCATTATGATATTAAATCCATGAAAAAAATTAATGAGATTGAATTATATTATATTAGGGTTAGGTGTGATTCTCAGAAAATTACTAATCTCTAATAGACCTTATTACTGAGAAGTGGTGAATTACTACAAAGTTTCAATTCAAGATTCATAAGAAGACCAAAGGAAGTAGTATTCTGATAAAGAAATTGAATGAAGCAAGGTATGTAGATAACCTTTGTATTCATTTATTGTTTCTGATTACTTTAGTAGTATTGGGGCTTTATCTATGATTTTATATAGTGTGTTTTAAGCACTATCATTATTATGTATGTATTTTTTGAAATAATAATTACAGCAAATCTAATTTAAATTTTTCATTTTCAACAACTGTTTTTGCCACTCGAATATTATCAACTTTTCAGTATCAACAGAATGTGTTTTACGATGACTCACAAAATTATTGTCAAAAAACTTTTTTTTAATAATCATTCATAGGTGGGACCACAAAATGTAGAATGTCTTTTTCAAGATATTTGAACATTTCATGTCATACATATATTGGATGGTCCCAGATCCTTATGGGATGAATTGATTACTGTCACCAATTATGTGTTTGGAAATTATTTTCATTATTGATTGAGCATTAACAAACCTAGTTCGGTTTAGGCACTGGAATTTTTGCGCCACTGCTTGCAATTTTTGTTGAACATAGGTTTGCTGTTGTTTATCGATAAACACTATTTTTTCTTGGATAAGTCAAAAATGACAGGCTCATAGAAAACAAATGCTTTTCACCTGTGCCAGGAAAATTCCGGGACCAAATGAAGATGTGCTATTTATTGTGTGAAGAATGGAGAAATAAGGTAATATAAATCATTGTACACTGAAGCATATATGTATATTAACTTCTTTCATTTTCAGTTTGCAGAGAAATCATAAATACTTCTACCAAATCCAAGAGCAACTGAATATAACGAAGAGAGAATATTTTGATTTTATTTTATATAGCCTTGTAGATTTTAATGTAAAAAGGATGTATAGGGACAAACATTTCTGGTAGAATACAATTCTACCTATTTTTCAACATAAAAAGTATTCTCCCAGAAATGTTGGATCCTAGGGTTACTAGTGGAAGGCAGATACGTGAACTTGAAAAAATCATAAATTTGTAAGTCACGTTGCTGATTTTTTTTCAATCACTTGTAATATATATTCGTGAGAATGTTCCTAACATATGAATAAAAAATTGTCCCGCTCCTTTTGCACAGACCTGTTTATCTGTAGTGCTTGTTTCCTTTTTTAATATGTAAATGTTATAATTAATAACATTTTCCATTCACGCCACAAAATATTTATATCACAAAATATTTCACTTATTCAATGTTTTCTTTCAAACACACTTAGTGCTCAAGAGTGTTTTTTTATTTTATCAAACTGCGAGAATACTGAAATATAAAATATAAGGCAACAAAAATATTCTAATTTACAGAGAAGGACCTTTTAATCTTCTTATTTTCTATCAATTATATTCTAACAAGATATTAGAAGATCATTTCGGCAAGTTTTACCAAGGTACGCAAAAAAGACCCCTGCTCGTCGGGCCTTGATTGTCACTGAGTAGTAGTCACTTGGCTTCGTCTGATATATGCTTTGAAAATTGTATCCGTTTTACATTTCAAAACATGCAAAACATATAAATTAATGCCAATCTTCTGACATTATTATTTGGATTCAATTTAAAATAACTATATTCTGCTTATTTGCTATTTTTGGAAAAGGGTTGAAGACCAAGAAATGGATCATGCCAATACGCATCAACAAAACTAGTATACTATTTTTTTAACGTAGTTAACAGACTGAACCGATAAATTTTTGCCCTAATGTTCCGGAAAGAATTGAATCATTCATTCAATTAAAATGAAATTTTTAATTATCTCAATTTTCCTTTATAAAACTTAGGACTGTTTCACTGCTGGTATTTTTTTTTCAGGAGGGAAAACTCATGTATGGCATGCTTTTCTCCATTAAATCTTTTGTCAGCAAGATATCACCCACAGATATCAAAGAAGGTTTTCTTTCTTATAAAACTTCGAAGTACACATTGCACTTTTTTGAAACGCCTTCTGGTCTCAAATTTGTTATGAACACAGACATCCATTCACAAGGAGTTCGAGAAATACTTCATCAGTTGTATAGTCAAGTAAGTGAGAGAATATACTCATGTAATTTTTTATCGTGTCAGTATACTTGTATATGTATTGGTTATTTTTTCTAACAAAAAAAATTAAGGAAGTATTTCAAAAGTAATGATAAAAGTCATATATAAATTTTATATTTATTCGACCTTTTAAATCTGAATGTTAGTACATCCGACTCACAATCGAAACGTCGTAGGATCGAACCACATAATTTTCTTGAGTTTTTTTTTATCGAAGTTAATTTGATTTTTCTACGTTTCACGCCTGTTGGCATGATGCTTTCTAACTGGCTCAGGCGTTATCTATCAACATTACTTACCCAGAACATGAGAGCAATGACCATAACAGTTGATGCTGTTGACATAAAAAAATTATGTTTACTCACCATTATGGAAACTTCAAGTTTTCAAAATATATCAAGTCGTACTTATGTATAAAAAAATAATAATAAATGAAATGAAGTATTTGTGACACAGTCACAGTATTACAAGTTCAAATATATAAAACATTTAAAAAAATATTGTAATTGTAGTATTATATCTCTTATAGCAAGAATTTTACTTCGTTTTGAAAGATTTCATAGTGTCCTGTTAGATTCATCACATTAGGAAGTTTATCATAAAATGTGATGACATTATAATGAGGAGACTTTTTATACAGTTACGTTTATTTTGGTATAGTAAAACCCCAGTCAACCGAAATAAAGGAAGGATATTTGTTTCAGATAACACATTTTTTGGTAAACCCATTAATATACTAAAAATAGCCTACTAAAATAAAATCAAAATCAGCCTGATGATGTGTCAAGTAGAGATACATATATTGTAAAAATTAATATCTCAAGATAAAATTCGAAAGTAGTTAGGGGAGCTCCAGATCATACTGTGTAGAATAGAATAGGAAGTTGGGCGAGGTGAATGTTTTGAATTTGATTACGAAATATTTATTTTCTCACTACTCAAATATGTGTGTAAAGGATATGAATTATAAACGAGTTCTACAGGTACTTTGTTTTTATTTTGAAAATGAATGTGTTAGGTTTAGAATGTATGTTGTCATCATTCACTCTGTATATAGATTTTCTATTTAGTTTATGTAATGTCTGATAATATTTTTAGGTGAATCAAATTTGTTTGGTAAAAAAATCAATCGAAAATTCCGATTGCCAAAGTTAGAGCTGACCAAATTCGACGGAAATGTGAAAAGCTGGATCAGGTTCTGGGGACAGTTAAAAAAGATAAACCAGGATGAAGACATCGATTTAGAAGACAAGTTTCAGTATTTGTTGCAGGCAACGGAACAAGAATCACCAGCACGGGAACTTGTGGAAAGTTTTCCTCCATCTGGCGCAAACTACAAAAAAGCACTTGACCAGTTGAAAGTACGGTTCGCTAGAGACGAATTTCTGATTGAGGTTTATGTGAGAGAGTTGCTGAACCTATTTCTTCACCAGGTAAACAAAAATAAGTCAGGTATGTCATTATCATCTTTATACGATATATTGGAGACTCAATTACGAGCGTTGGAGTCATTAGGTGTGACAACTGAAAAGTATGCTGCAATGCTTTTCCCAGTGGTTGAATCCGCACTTCCGAGTGAGTTACTCAAGATTTCGGAAAGACATCGAAGTTCGAAGGTGAAAATACATAGTAAAAATGAAAAAGATACTTTTGCTTCTGATAACTATCTTACAATGTTGTTAGATTTCTTGAGAACTGAAGTGGAATCAGAAGAAAGAATAAATTTGGCAAAAACAAGTTTTGGAATTGAAAAGGAGCAGCCGAAACATAATAGTAAGAGAAAACGTTTACTGCAAGGTGAGCCAGAACTCTATTCTGCTGCAGCAGTGTATACAGTTAATACAAAAGATTCTTCGAAAGGTAAGAAACCAAACTGTATATTTTGTAATAATAGTACCCATGCAAGTCAAGATTGTTTTGCTGCACAAAAACTTTCTTTGGAAGAGAGAAAGGTTGTTTTTCTTGTTTGAGAACCGATCATATCAGCAAAAATTGCAAAGCTTTTGTAAGATGTTTAATGTGCGCACGGAAACATTTTCCAATAATGTGGTGTGATTTAGATTCGAAAAAGGTTCAACCAGGTGAAAATTCCAAACAAAAATTGGAAAATGTTTTGACAAGTAATTTTTCAACTGACACACTCTTACAAACTGTCATTGTCAAAGTGACAAATAATTATAAACAGAAACTTGTCAGGGCTTTGCTGGATTCCGGTTCTCAAAGATCATATATTTCATCGAAATGTGCAAAAGATTTGAATTTTAAGCCATCAGGAGAGGAAAATATAATACAAGGTGTTTTTGGTGGTGTTCAATCATCTCCTAATCTCCATAACATATACCATATCGCAATAAGTGACATTAAAAATGACTTCTCTTGCAAATTATCAGTATTGGAACAGAAAAAGATATGTAATTACTTACCTAGATTGCGAGATTTAGCTGTTATAGACTATTTGAAGAATAAAAACATAATTTTAAGTGATATTGGTATAAATAATCCACAAGAAATTGAATTGTTGCTAGGGGCAGATATTTTTGGAAATTTAATTACAGGGCATATTGAAACTTTGAATAATAGACTTGTTGCCATAGAAACGCATCTTGGATGGACTATAATGGGACAACAAGTTCATAACACAAGTAACAATAGTATTTTTTCCGGGTTTACTGATTTTTCTATTGCTGATTTGTGGGAATTAGATGTTTTGGGTATAAAGGAGCCCGCAAATACCACACCAAAAGACATTATTGATTTTAAAACGGAAAAGTATTTTAAAGAAACGGTTTTGCAGACAGATGATGGTAGATATCAAGTAAATCTTCCATGGAAAGAAGGTCATCCGAAACTTTCTAACAAGAAAGAAATAGCTGAAGCAAGATTATTGTCTTCAACAAAAAAGTTAATTAGTTTAGGAAAATTTGAAGATTATAGTAAAGGTTTTGCAGATTGGAAATCATTAGGTATTATAGAAGAAGTTAGGGAAGATTCAATTGGTAGGCCAAGTCACTATATACCTCATCATGCCGTTATTGAAGAAAATAGTATAACTTCTAAAATTAGGCGCATCAACTCATCAACAAAGGATAATAACGGAAATTCACTGAATCATGTTTGGAAAAAGGTCCCAATCTGATAGAATTGATTTCTTCATGTTCATAAAATTCAGAATAGGACTAATAGGAGTAACATCTGAAAAAGCATTATTGCAAATTGATGTCAATCCCAATGAAAGGGACAATTTTGAAGACTGGAATGAAGTTATGGGCTATTCTACAGGTAGAAAAATCAAATGGCATCCAAATCCTCCAACAGCCGCTTGGTGGGGCGGTTGGTGGGAACGCATGGTCAGAATAATTAAGAAATTAGGGAAAGCAACTTCAACATATGAAGAATTGATGACGACTTTATGCGATTGTGAAGCCATAATTAATGCAAGGCTTTTAACTTATATTTCGGAAGATAATTTAAAACCTCTCAGCCCTTCTTTGTTTATTTTGGATATATCTACCAGTGAAACTCCAGATTTCGATATCATAGACAGACATAATTTAATGAAACGACATAGATACAGAAAGGAGTATCTAGCGGAACTCGTACATACTGGTCAAAGGAAAATAGGTAGCTTAAAAATTGGAGATGTTGTTCTTGTCAGCAGCGACAATGTAAAGTGAATAAACTGGCCTATGGGAAAAGTATTGGAAATTTATCCTGGAAAAGATGACGTACCCAGGGTAGCGAAAATAAAAGCGAACAGTGGGGAACTTATTCGACCGTTTCAGCGTTTATATCCTTTAGAAGTTACGACAGAAGAGGACAGTAAGAATTTTCTTCAAATTGAAAAGAAAATGAATGAAGTGAAAGGTAAAACTGATGAGGACTACATAATAGAAAAGCAAGACATCAAAGAGAAAACTGAAGAGATAGTCACAAGAAGGGGGCAACAAGTCAGAGCTCCGCATCGTTATGGTTTCGAGTGAAATTTATAATGTTATTTTGAAATTTTTCGTCAGTTTTTTATTTTAATTTCAAAATGGGGGAGAATGTTAGATTTAGAATGTATGTTGTCATCATTCCCTCTGTATATAGATTTTCTATTTAGTTTATGTGATGTCTGATAATATTTTTAGGTGAATCAAGTTTGTTAGTAAAAAGATTTTGATTACAGTTGTCAAATAAATAGAATTTAAAAACGTCAGTAAGACTTTATTTGAT